GTCCCGCTCGGTAGCGCTCGTGGCTGGCCCGGCGCGGCAGGAAGAACCAGCGCTGCAGCGCGTCGCTCCAGCAGGCGGACTCGTGGATGAGGTAGCCTGGGGCACGGCAGACGGGGCTCAGTGTGGGGCCCGGGGCTGCAGGGCTCAGTGGCGGCGGCGCCCAGGCTGTCTGCACGGGGCCTGGTGCCCACCATGCACTTGGATGCAGCCCCGGGGCGGGGTGGGGGTTTGCTCACAGCCCGCCCTCCTTTCGATCCCCGTGTTTCCCGGAGGCGGCCTCTCGCTCGGTCCTCGTCGCCCAGAGGAATGAGGATGGACACGCCTGAGCCCACTAGGGCCGTCCGTCCGGGGCCCGTCTTCCCTGCCCAGCTTCCCCGGGAACGCCGCGTGGCCACGCCGTGCGGTCTGTCCTCCTGCTTCCCTGTGCTGGTCAGAGCGCAGATGCAGGGGAGGGGACCAGCAGGCTGCTCTGCGGGGCGGGCTCTCCCATGGGGGGGTCTGGGGCCCAGCTGGGGTCCTCGGCCGCATCCCCCCAAGTCCAGAGCTGGCCAGGCCTCTCCGAGCATCACGGCACCCACTACAACACTGGCGTCTCTGGGGGGTGAGGGGAGAACCAGAGCTGCCCCCTCCCGCCTCCGCCCGGGACAGCCACCCGGGCTCCATCTGGGGGCCGTGACTCGGGGTGAGGTGTGGCACAGAAAACGCCTCATCTGCCCCCAGAATCCACTGGCCGAGGGCGCACCCATCCGACAGCCGAAATCATCAGATTGAGCAAGAAACGCAACCCCTGCCGCCCGGGCCGGCTCCTACCTGGCGGGTGGATGCCGGCGGCGGCCCGGAGGGCGTTGTAGCTGGCCACCCAGTTCTCGTGGTTCACGCTGCCCCGGAAGCCCACCACCTTCACCCACTCAGGGTTCTCGTTGACCACCTCGCCCGTGGTCGTGGTCCACTCCTTGCCCAGGCCGCCCACGTACAGATGCTCGTCCTTCACCGCCAGCCACTCCGCCTTGAAGCCTGCGGACAGGGGACGAGAGGGACTGAGACCGGCCGGCCCTCCGCCCACGGCGCCTGGCTCCTGGGGTCTGGCCACCCTGGGCGTCCGAGGTCACCGTGTTAAACTCCACTGGAGTGGACAGGACAGCCTGGCTCGAGCCCCATCCTGGAGGGTCAGCGGCGGGCACACCCCTCAGCAGACCCACACCAGGACGTACTCTCCCCGACGCCCCTCCCCCTGGGCCAGCGGCGGGCGGGGCCGGTGCTCACCTTTCCCCACGGTGCCGTCGCCGTCGGACAGGATGACCCAGGGCACAGGCGTGTTGCCCTCGATCCGGTAGACCACCCCCGTGCGGTCGTCCACGGAGTAGAGCTTCCCGTTGAAGACGACCAGGTCTGACAGCTCCATGCCCCGCCCCTTTTCCGCCAGGTGGGACTCCAGGACCCTGTGGCCCGGGTCCCACTCCACGGCCACCTGGTCCCCGCTGTGGGACAGGGTCAGGTAGCCCTTCTGCAGGTAGCTGAACCAGGTGTTCTCCTCCCGGGCCTTGGAGTCCGTGTCCAGGTCGGCAATGACTGCGATGCGGTAGCGGGTCCCGCCCGGCGTCCTCTGGGGGGCCGACAGGGGGTAGGTGTCAT